CATGTTTTCTGTAAGATATATTTGAACTTGTATGACCATCCAAAAGAGGTGTGAAAGATGTACGCTACTTAAGTAGTCATTTTTCATTGAGTACGACGCCTGTGGGAGGTCAGAAAGAAGTGCATTCAGAAGCCGACATCATGACGGGTCCTAAATACTATAAAACTATGCTGCATGATAATTAATATTACAACGCCACCTTATTAATCATTCCTAGTCGAAAAACGCATTTCAGACTGTCGGCAAACATTTCATGAGAGCGGTCACGCACTGTACATCAATAACTGCATCGAAAATCTGGGTTGCAGTGCCGTCGTGTTCCCTGATGAGGTTAAACTGAACTGACGTACACAGGCACGCATTTCCAGAGAGTCTCAACCGACTCAGCAGCTAGTCTGTTAGTCGGCTCTTAACGTCGGTAAGTATGCATTCATAAGACTCCGAACTTACAGTGGATGGTTCCTTCCGATACCTCCTTGATGGACACCCCCTTTCAAACGTTGGGGTTCTGATAACCTCCTGGCCTAAACAATCGTCACAGTGTCTAACGGCAGCCAGATACGCGACACCAATACTACAGTAGGTGGGCTAACTCATGAAGTGGCAACCGAAATGCGTTCTCGTTTCGGAAAGAAAAATTAAGTTGGGTTGTAAACTGATCATTATGCAGCACAAATCTATAATAATTCAGTTACCTCAGGGTGTCGGCTTTCGAATGAACTTACTTCCGACTGCATGCAAGAACTATACTCTGCAAAAATGACTACTTACATAGCATGCAATTTTCTCATTTATTTTCCATACCCTTAAAAATTCAATTATATTTCACGGAAAACATGCATAAAAATAGTCATTTTTGTACTCCTTCGGTAGAATATTACGTCTTCTGATTTTACACTTGAAAAAGGGTATAATTTGGTTTTTAAAAAACCTTTCCAATTCCCATGACGTTTTATGAACGGCCGTTTCACGGTATAAAAAAATCTCAAAATTAGAAACTTCTTTCTAACCGAATTATAACCTTCCTTCGAGTATAAAATCGAAAGAAGACGTAATTTTCTACCGAAGGAGTAGAAACATTACTATTTTTATGCATGTTTTCCATGTAATATAATTAAATTTTAAGGGCATCGAAAATCAATGATGAAATTACATGCTACGTAAGTAGTCATTTTTTGCAGAGCATAGTTCTTGCATGCAGACGGAAGTAAGTTCCTTCGAAAGCGGACACCCTGAGGTAATTGAATTATTATAGATCTATGCTGCAAGATGACTAGTTTTACAACCCCACTTAATTAATCTTTTCGAAACGATAACCCATTTCGGAATTTCGGTTGACATTCCATGAGTTAGCCCACCTACTGTATTAACATCGAGACGAGGATTCGTGCAGATTTATCAAGAGCTGTTCGGAAAAACCTACAGGGCATTTGTTCGGTCTCAATTGAAGTATGCCGTGCAGACCCGTCGTTCCGGAATCACCGCTGTAAAAATTGAATCTATTACTACTTCCAGATATGAGAAGGGGGTCCAACTTCGGAATACCTATTCCATTAATAAAGCGCTTCAAGCGACTTAAAGCGACATGCCTAACTGCATGTTAGAATATGTGATTGCACCAATGAGATCAGAAAGGTATTTTTGCTGAAAAAGACTGTTGGACTACTCTCTCCGTTAGAAAGTGCCGTGTTCCGTGGACTGTGGCTGCAGATACTGTCACGGCAACCAGTTATCGCACATCAGTCCAGGCGTGCTTGCACTTGTAACATCCTCACCACAAGGTCGAATTAGGTGGAAGTCACTTGATTCACCCCTTCGCCCACCTCAAGTTAAGCTGTCTAGTCCTCATTCCCCCATTCTGCGTCCTGCTCAACCACACTGCATGCCATAAACTCCGTTGAGAATTTTAAATCTGACTTTCAAGTATTTTCACACAGTTCTCACATGAGTTCTTTGTATCGGTTCCAAATAAGGCATACAGCAGTCACTCAAGTTACTGTGTTCTGTCATTTCCAAATCGTCTCCTAACTTTCTGATTAAACGCACAGATACTAAAAGAAATCTTAGACACAGCTCTTTGAAAAATTCCAGAGGTCATGATCACTACAGCCAGAGTGAAACGATAAACGTCATTCTCGCGTTGTATGCTCGTTTTTCAGGGTGATGAGTTTTCGCGTTTGGATAGTTTTACAAATACCTCAAACGCCCATCTGCATTGGGCAGAATACCTAAGCACTCCCTGCTTCGGTAAGTGTTTCAAGGAAAATCTTGTACTGTAGGTTTTGATAAACACATAGCACAGAATCAATCTTTATGGGCAGCCGCATGAATCGGTGTCTATCCAAAAGAATACGAGAACACCTTTCCGCATGGCTGGCAAAAGGCGAAACTAGGAGCAAAAGCAGCGTCATTCTTGAGCATGCAGTTGATCCAGGGCATCGTGTGGACCCCGACGAAGCTTTTCGTGTTATTTATAAGGACCTTTCGAGCTATCCTATGCTACTTGTTAGCAACAGCAGAAGCGGCCGCCATCAGGTTACGAAAGTCGATCCTTTGCGTCCAGAAGAACCTCGTTCAGACCCCGCGCTTACCTTGGTCAAGGACTGACTAACAACATGCAATTTTCTGCGCCCTTCCGCTCTTTCACCGCCTGTGGTTTAAAACTAAATTTTATCGATTTTCCAATCAATGGCATGTTTGAATGTACCCCGTTCCCATATAATTATACTGGCCTGAACAGAAACTAATCGAAACCAACTTATGCTCGCAAATTGGTGTTCTGAATACTGTCTTGGGAATATTTGCAGCACCGAAAATCGTGAAATATTAACAGATATTTCAAGAACGACCTGAAACTCAGCGTACAGCAACCCAACAAAAAATTATGTGGAAGTTTGACGGAAGGAAGGTTCTCTTAATATACACAAAAGGATATTCTAAGAAATATGAAGGGCTCACCGCATCGGTGAAATTGATGGCTTGTCCGGCCCTCCGTTATGAAAGTGCTTTGTGCAAAATCGATCAGAACCTTAAACAAACAGCTGAATTAGGTGGCCTTGGGCCGATCGATTTTCTTCTTCTTTCGATCGGTCCAAGGACAGCTAAGTCAGACGTATGCCAATATTATTCAAATTTATTAGTCATTGACCAGCTTATCAACATGTGGTCTTATGAAAACTCTTATTCCTGTGACATCTCTATCGGCGAAATCTAGCGAATTCCTGTTTACCTAGGCCGATCGCATCTCAGACAATGTAAGAATGAAAACATTCAGCTGATTCTCGAGAAGCCGTTTAAGAACCTGTAATCAAACAACAGGCCATTGGCAAGGCGTGATAATTCAAATTACACTAATGTCTGTAGGAAATATTTGTGTAAACTTCACAAAAGAATTATTTTCAAACGTAATTCTGTCGGTGCTTTGGTATTTACTGTTATTTGCATTGACAGGCTTGCTATGCTAAAAGGATTTCTGACGTTTTCGGAATTTCCGTTTTCCTGAGACATTTGTTATTTCTTAACAACATAGTATTACCTTTAATAGATTCTATGTTTTCGATTCGCTTTACGTCGTTTGTTATTAATTCGGAGTTTCCGTGCATTCGTTTGGGCCGGTTTGTGAGCAATTACCAGTGTTTCGTAAATTTTGGAATATCTCATGAGTTGCCAGATTTACTGTACGCCTATTGGTCTGACAAAAAATTGCTCGAAAAACTTGCTCACGTAAAAGAAATAGAAAATCAAATATATGGAAAGGTCACAGAAAAAGATATCTCTCGTATAAAACCTGGTGTTTAGGCAAATAAACCGTCTTTTATAAACCGAAATTTAAGTAAGGGAGAGCCTATTTCGACTAGCAATGTCACATTTGGCGTCTATCTTCTCATAAAAGCAATGGTTTAGGACAGGAAATCCCCCAACGGAGCCCTCGTTGCAGGTACGCTGGGTGTCCCATAGTATAAAACAGTAACCATGTAATAGAGAAGTCGACGCCCCTCTATAAAGACGGAGTTTTCATGCAGAAAATTTGCGCGTATTTAAATTGCAATCATTGGGATTTTATCTGGAGTTTATAACCAACACCTTGCACTCGAGTGGGTGAACTATTCGCTAAATAATAGAATACCCGCTAAAATGGAAGAATTATGTGCGAAGCCTTTTGGCATTGAAAGTTTCATGGGAGAAAACACCGTTACTGAAATCATGATAGTAGGCGGTCTTTCAACGGACAAAAACGCCCATCCAGATACTATACTCCGGCTGGAAGAGCTAATCGCCTAAAGAAAATGCTGGTGAATAATCTGACCCTGGTGTCCTTCTGTCAGAAATTTTGGATTTGCTTGAAGACGTCGCATCTGACCACGGACTCTTCTAGTTTGCAATGCCTATAAAATCATTTTCGCCCGATTTAGTTGTTTTTTTGGAGATAACTTAAATGGACATTCCGAAGTTCCATGATTATGACTTCTCTTAAAAACCAAACGCATCCCAAGCCTGAACTAATTGGAAGTATCCAAATCATCATTATTCCTGAAACCGTCCATTTCCCACAAGAAGAAAACGAGCGATATACTCTACGAATTGTGGCCAGTGGAAATGGTGTTTTTATACGAATCGTAAAGCTCTCTTAAGTTGTACTTGCTCTAAAAGGCATATCCCTAGATTCAGTTGTATCGACCTTAGTTTCCTTCTGCAACGTCTATGGTGGACAGCGTATGAAGAGGAAACAGGTTCGATTGACGCACTGAGTCGCGTATTCCCCATTTGTACTGAGACATTTTTTGCCCACGATACCGACCATTTCATTTTTGATAAAGGCAATCCCACGAGAACCACCCTGTCAATGTCAAAACGCCTCCATTTCAGTGCATTTCGTTTGATATTCATCTATTTCAAAGTAAAACCGTACACTCTCTCACTGACAGTGAGTGTTTAGGGAGAAATACAAAAATAAATATCTTAAAAATAACGAGTAAATAGGAGTGGGCTTTTGGCATTTCTCATATAATGGAGTAATTTTCATCTTCGCTTGCGATTTCATCACCTTCGTCTACGAGGGTTGCGTCTGCCGTATTGTGGCGGTATGCAATGAACTGACCCATGATCTGTAGTAAAGGAAAACAAATAATCGATCAGCGATCTCCTGCTTCTGTACAATCACATCAAGCATTTTAAATTTATCAGAATTTTAGCAGTTTTATGCATGGAAGGAGGCGGAAACTGCTGATGACAAAAGACTCGACTTACAATGAAATCGAATACCAGAATGCCCAAGCTTCCCAGGATCCAGGGAAGCGATTTAACAACGAAAGCAGCGTCAATTGATTTGATGAAGATCTGAAGACCGTAGAATACATTTCCAAAAATAGCCAGAAGGAAAAGGTAGAGGCTGAGACCCTCCGTCGATTTCCGTTTGAACTGTAGAAAAAATGGTTTCTCTTAGTAGAAGGTCAGCGTCTCAGAAAATAGCAGTTCCTACTCGTCGCATACACATTACATAAATACCGACACAAGATAATGACTTACGTTTTGCACAATTTGTGGCACCCGGGAACAGAAGTACATGACGGCGCCAATCCAACCAATGGCGTAACCGATTTTCTCCTCCGTAGTCTAGCCCAAACAAGGAAACAGAATTTAAAACATGCCAATTAACTTGGGACAATTTGAATCAGGTGGCAAATAATACTCAACCTATAGGATGCACTAAATAGTGGATGAAGTATGGTCCTCCTCCAAAACTTAGTAGCGAAAAACTACCTCAGCGCAAGATTAATTGGCTGGATTTTGTAACAGAGAGCTCCATCTGAACGTAGTTTTGTGTATATGCACAAGGTGGTAGTCAAAACTTACGGCGAGAAAGTCGGCGAATGGATCTGGCGTGGTGGTAGTGGGGGAAACATCGTTTGCAGCCTGAAGCAGTTGACGCCCCTGCAGATGCATTGAGCCCATGTGGGGCGGTTTTCCTTGGCCATTTATTAATGCGGGCACGCAGAAGTAGGAGACACCGACGACGCCCAACAGAGCGGTAGCCAGAGTTTTCGAGGCCTTTGTAGGAGCGGTACTTATCGAGTCACTGTTCTGGGAACTCTGTTCATCATCCTTTTTGAGGTTGTAGTCTTCGCCGTATTCTGTTTTTTTGTTAAAATGAAAAAAGATTGGTGTGATAACCGTTGATTGACTGAGCAAACCAGTAGGAATAAGCATAAATAGGGCCTCGACCTTCTCACGTTGCAAATCGATGTCACGCAGTCGAGTACGGTCAACGTAGGGGCAGTGATTATGAGGGATAACTGTCGTTTATCTGTTAGTCGATTAGGTTCGCTTTAGTCGTTTTTTGTTAAAAGCAAGACAGATGAGCGTGGTCATAGTCGATTGACTGAGCAAGACGATAGGGATAAGGAAGAAATAAGGTCACGTTGTAAATTGATTTCACAAAATTGAATCCATCTAACGTAGTGACAATGACTAAAAGGAATAACTGCTGTCTGCCCGGTAGTCAGTCAGGTTTGACTGAGTCGTTTTGAAGAGTTATAAGCTCAGTACACTTGCATTTATCAGAGAAGCATTGCTTGCAAGCAAGGAAAACTCACTTTTGACTTTATGCTTATGGAGGCAGTAGTAGTATATGTATTGGCCGATGAGAAACAAATCCACCACGACAGTGTAGCCAGCAAGCACTTTCTAAAATTAGGATCGTCAAAGGAAAGAAAAGCTAAACATGGCAAATTTGGCATCATTCCATGGAATCAGTCGAGGTACCAGCGGACCTTGAACCTACATTTTGCTGGAGTGTTTAGTTTTTTTTTAAAATCAATAATGTCTGTGGCTTAAAGGCAACGAAGTGTACTGTCCAAATTAAAGCGCCAGACGGCATACTTACTTGAAGGAACAGTTGATTTGTCAGGAATGCACCAGTAAAGTTAAGACTGTCGCCAAGGAGCCAGAAGAATAGAAGCCAAGGGGAGACAGCTTCGTCGGGAATCTTCTTGATGCAATTGGTAACCATTTGGGGAAATCCGAACATGAACCACGAGGCAATGCTCAAGACACCGAAGGCGATGGAAACCTTGTCGCGAGTGCTACGAATGCACTCTCCCAAAACATTCCAAGCCCAGTCGACTCCGCCAGGACACTCTGCTTCTAATGAACCCGGAGCGAATGTGGTTGCAGTTGCCATTGGTCGAATATGTCTGGTAGCCCTTTGTTCGATGTTGAGTATTAATATAAATTCCGGCTCGTAGTACTTTGAAATTTGCTCTGAAATTCAAAGTTGATTTAACGATAATTTTCTTCAAAATGCTCAAATTTATTATCAACTCTTGTTTGTTTGCATTAGAGCGACCTTGCAATGCTCGAATTGGCCAATCTGCTTAGAACGTCTTTGCAGCAGACGTGCTCCAATTCGAGCATCCTCCGACCTGATTGGTTGATTTGATGCATCACGACGTGCACCTCTGGCTTGGAATTACGTTACACGGCAAGTACGCTTCTCCATGTTTCTTCCAACTTCAAAATTGGCCCAATTTTGCTCACTTTATGGAAACCACTCGATAGTCGTGACCAGTCGTTATGCTCATCGTGTTCGCATTTCTCGAGGTAATCTTACAGTGTTCGAAATTATCCGAATTTTTGCAATTATTCACCAAATATTAGAGCTTCGCCGCTTTTATTACCGGCTTTCGGCGTGGAGACACTTCGTATTATTTGGACCGAAGCTCTACTCCTAAAACCATTTTTCATTTCTGTTCAATTCAGTTTTACAGAGATGAATTTTATTTCCTCTACTTACACAGTAATTATAGAGATGAAGGTCGAAAAGTTGGCACATCAAGCGTTTTACAGGAATGCTGGCTAAGTATATTAGGAAAAAATAAATAGTCTAGAGAATGGATGTCACGCCCTTTGTCAGGAGGCAAATATCGTTTTGAAAAATAAAATGCGCCTTTACTTGTTCTTAAATTTTCCAATTTACATGCGATGGAGTCCTTTGAGTGACCTCACAGCTTAACTTTTTCTATAACGAGGACGGGACATAAAACCGGATCGGTTTTCATATCATATGAATAACGTTACTACTGCCGGGAAGAGAGGACCGAAAGATTTGTCATGCCAGATCCTCCAAGCGCTTTCCTACTTTCAAACTTTCAAGTCTACTAGTAGTCCCCTTTGTCAAACAGGAATGTTGCAGACTGTCTAACTCCCGTAAAGTACTAAAAGCAGTTAATCTCTTGAAGATTATTTGCATGGATTATAGATTGTTCTATAAAGGCAGTCAATAGTTATTTGGTATATGGGTTCTATATTTTTGGGAGGGGGGTACGGAGAGAGATTAAGTAAAAACCGTCTCCAAAACCATCTTGCAATACCTCTCGACGTTGTTCACTTTGGGAATATTGAAAAAGATTTTTTTGCTTGTTCTTCGATCCCCGAATTACCCTTGAAATCACACGGGAAAACGCGTTCAAGTGACTGCGGAAGTCGCCAATTTTCGACTACGAAATCCTCTCTTCTGAGCCTGGACCAACTTTATGCAGGCATTTCTTTCGCCATGGCGCGATGTAGGTCTGCATAGCCGACGGATCTTCTACGTACTCATCGACTTCTTTTTGCCTTCCTCACGGACTGTCGCTCCCTGATCCCCTCAGCGATCCAATCCTTTTGCTCTTACGGTTGAATTATATACTCTAATAAGAAGAGGTCGTTTGCCCTGAGTGCCCGGTGATCTACAGAATCGGGGTTCACACTTTCGCGTAGTTAGCGTTTTTAGTGTCTTGTGATAGCAAGTGGATCTGAAGTGATATTCAGAGCTCTCCCTTTTTCTCTGTTTACCACTGCTTCTTTCCTGCTTTTGCCGGTTCCAGATTCGGCACCCCAGAGCAAAAAACAACAGTAGTAATTGTGATCCTGCAAAGTCTCCTTTAAGGATACTGGCCAGTCTCATAGTTCTTATGCTCGACCGTCAGTTTTCCAACAAACACAACTGGGGTCTAATATATTCCCCCCCGTTCAACAATTGGAGCATCGAGGGCGCATAAATAAACGCTTTTATTTACCACTTGCATTATCATTGCAACAACAGATGATGAAACTCACGAAAATCATTATAAAAATATAGACATGTATTACTGGCTCCTGGGGAGTTTAGAAGGCTGACTCCATATATATATATATATATATATATATATGAATATGATATATATATATATATAAAGCTACCTTCTCTCACAGAATTTCTCCTATTGTTGTTTTTCTATGTTAAAGTCAGAAATGTTGCACTCTAGCGGTTGCCCATTTCGAGTGATACCGCAGTCCCGTCCAACATGTTCGCGTGTGTGGTCCTGCTAGTTGATACTGAGTCAACCTCTGAATGGGGATAAATAAGCCTTCCAGAAAACTGGATACTGACGCTTCGTTATCCCTCTCAGAGAATTCGCACGACCAAAGGACAAAATACGCCGTTTCAAGAGCCCAGGAACCCTTTACATCCACAACTTTCCTGATTCTATGATTATTGCTTCGTCTTGGAAGTCAATAGTAATTCTGCAACGTAAGTCTTTCACTTTCTAGACATATGCAAGTATTTTAGTAGTGCATGCGGAGTGGAATATCTAGTTGGTGGGATTCGTATGCTCTACCATCATTTTCTACTTTTGAGTTGATTCATCAAAAGTTCTATTCTTCTCAGCGGGAGGTTTGCACTTTTGTCTGAAATCAACTTCACTTCTTTAGTCATGCATGCCGATTAATGGCACCGCCCACGTGTATTTGAAGAAGTTTGGTTTATTGCGTAAGTGCTCAGTTCAAAGGTAGCAAAACCATGGAGGAGAAAACTTTTCAGCTAATTACTGTTAGGCTTGTACAATGACATGCATTAAGTGACTGATCATATGAAATTTACCCCAAATTTCTGAAATGTGTTTTCGGTAAAAAAGGACTACATAGGTGAGGTTGTAATATTGATTATAATGTAGTAAAAATCCAAGATAGTTCAGTTACGCCGAGATGCTGGCTTTTGAATGAGCTCCTTCTCAGACACCTGTAAAAACTACACGGTAAATATAATGACTTAGGAGATTTGCATTTTTCCACTCTTTTTAAATGTTCTTGTAAATTCAAGTATATTTTGCAGAAAAAATGCGCGAAATGTACTTTCTCGTGTTCATTTGGTGGCATTTCACACCTCCTTCCCTTTTATTTGCCCAAAAGGAGGTCGTTCGTCTTTCATAAGGTTTTCAGTTATGGGCTTTTTTAAACAGTGAAGTATCCATCTACGCTACTTAACCGGTCATTTGTTACCAAGCGCGGTTTAGGCCAGCGACCGGAAAGAAGTACACTCGAAAACCGGCATCCAGTCGTGACTGAAATATCTTGGGATTATGTTACAAGATAATCAGTCTTAAAACTTCACAAAAGTATTATTTTCCAATCATAAAGACCCTTCCGAATTTTGATGAAGACTTAATGAGATCCGTCACTCACTTTATAAATCTAATACTTATGCGTATGTACTGGAAGATGGACATCCCAGGAATCAAAATTCGAAGAAGAATGAGTCCTTTGGGAAAAAGAACAAACTTTAGTTCGTAAATTTTCGAGTCTGGTTCCCCAGCTCGTCGTCAGACGTGTAGTAAGTGTGAAGAAACAGTCAAAATTTAAACATGTCCAAAAAGTTGATATTGCTTTGTCAGGGCTGAGGATGGGTCAATGCTGTCGGCTGATGCCACGTCTTCATTGGCTATTACTCTCGGATTCATGTATGCATCAATCGACACATCGATCTTGACGCCATGTACACAAATCCCAAAGAAAAATGGAAAAGGTAATAGCCAATTAAGACGTAACATCAGCCCACACCACTGACCAATCCTCATCTCTGACAAAGCAATATCGATTTTTTAGACATGTTTAAATTTCGACTGTTTCTTCACACTTACTGCACGTCTGATGACAAGCTGGGGAACCAGACTGGAAAATTTAAGAAATAAAGTTTGTTGATTTTCACAAAGGACTCAAACCTAAAACCACATACTATCAGGAAATCTTCGAATATACACTCAGTGACTGATCACATGAAATGCTCATCGAAATTCTCAAATGCGCTTTCGATTAGAGTAAATCACTCGAATAGAGTGGTAATAATTATTATCATATGTCATATTCCTAAGATATTTCAGACACGCCAGGATGTTCGTCCTTCAGAACGTCTGCAAAACCGTACTCCATAAAAATGGCTACTTGATAAGCGCGAAGTTTTCCTGTTGGATTTCTGTGCCCATTTAAATTAAAATATATTTTATGGTAAACACGCAAAAAAGTAGTTCATTTTATACTCGTTTGGGAGAAAATCATTTATTTACATTTTATTCTCAGAGGAAAAGCATAATTAGTTTTTTAAGAAAATTCTGTCCGTTCCCGAATAATTTTAGGTTAGGCCTGCCGTTGCATTTACGATTAGGGGTTTCCGGCTGCAAGGTCTATGCTTTTCGTAAAAGAAAAATCGTATATTCCGCTAAGCCAAAAGAAGATACCATATAAAGCTCATAAGATTTTAAAATGAATGTGAACCATGTTGTATACATTCTTCACGAGGAACATTAATAAACGGACCTATGCGATGTTGCTTGAGTGGGCATCTCACGGTCTTAAAAAGTCTCATAGTTAGAAACTTTTCAAAACTGAAAAATCCTGATTCTTCCAGCATAAAATTTGAGGGAAACGTAATTTTCTACCAAATGGGTAGAGGAAGGAATGCTTTTTGCACGTTTTCCATCAATTATATAATAAAGTCCACAAGGGGATCGAGAATTAATATAAAACTCGTACTAGTTAAGTGTTCATTTTTACTAGTAGAAGGACACTCACCGATAGGGTCACGGAACTCACTCATCCCCTTTTGCCTTGGGGCTTTTTCTTGAGCCCCGTCAACAGCCGCACAGCGGCGCGAAATATAGGCAGAATGGTATTACCGACAAAGACAAGGGAGACTGGAATGGCCATTTTCGACTTATTAGTCGTCGTCAGCGAATCATACCCAACTCCGAGGTGTGGAACACCTGGGGCTCGAACTCGCAACCTGTTTGTTAGAAGTCCATGCTACTAACCACTAAGCCACGAGCCCGTTGCCCTGTCGGTTTTCGATCGGGAATATAAAATGGCGGGGGGCGCTGACCGATCTCA